CATTTTTGTCTGGATGGCCTCTGCTAAGAAAACAAAGCTTAGTCTTACTGGCTCTCCTACGAAGGAAATTTTGTTTTCCCAGGCTGCTCTCAAAGCTTTGTTTCCTTGCTTTTGATTTTGAAAAGCTTGATTATAATATGTCTCGGTGATTTTCTTATAGGATCTATCTTGTTTGGAGTTTGTTCAATTTCTTGAATGCATATCTTCTCATCTTTTATGATGTTAGGGACATTTTCTTCCAATAACTCTTTAACAATTTTCTCTATTTTTTCTTATCTCTTCCTGTTCTGGAATTCCAATCACCTGTAGGCTGTTTTCTTGATAGTGCACCACATACATCTTAGTTTTCTTCAGATTTTTTTTTTGTTCTTTTTTCTGATTGTTCCTCTAATAGGTAAATAATGAGACATTTGTCTTCAAGCTCACTAATTTGACCTTCTGTTGATTCAATTCTACTTCTTTTCTCTTTCAATGTATAACCTATTTCTGAAGTCTTAGTATTAATTTTCTGGCTTTGTAATTACTGTTTTTGTATGCTTTTCACTTTTCATTTATTTTGTCAGTTTGTTACTGTAATGTTTTCCTGAATTCTTCTAAAGTTTAGTCTGTAATTTCCTTGATTTCATCTGTAATTTTCTCAATCATTCTCTCAATCCATTGAAGGTACCTAAGGATCTTTCTTTTAAATTTCTTATCAAGCAATTCCGAAATCACTTCTAGTATTATATTTTCTGATTCTGTATCTTGGTCACTTGTTTGAGGCACTCTCTTTTGTTGCTTTTTGGAAGCTGAAATTGTCTGTTGCTTCTGAGACATTGTGGCATTGTATTTACATGTAACTGATAAGTGTATGTAGTAGTGTTCTCAGGCACTAACCACCTGTCTGTCGCCTGGTGGATGTGATACAGACTGGAAGTGTGAATGCAGTTCTCTGCTGTACTGTTGTTCAGGACTGGCTCATGCAGCTCCAGATGTGGGGTGGAAAGCCTGGTACCCAATCCCAGGCAGGGCAAAGGAATGGGTACCACTGAAGCATAGGGAATGGCCATGCCCCTGGCTACAAGAAAGGTGTGTGGAAAAAGGAAGAACCACCACCCCTTTGCTGCCAACCACCAGCTGAATCCTGTGCTTCATCAGCAAAAGTTCAAGATGGCCAAGCTGTTCCAGGCCAGCTGACAGTGTACCCATTTTTCTTTTCTTTCACTACTCCTGTTCAGTTTTCTCTTTCAGTCAATCCACCTCTTTGACCTATCTTTTGAAGTTCAGGGTTCCAGGATCACTATCTAACGTGTTTCATCTGGTCCCCCATGCCCCTGTTACAGGGGATATGCTCAGCACATCTGCCTACTCCACCATCTTGCCCTGGAAGTCCCTGCTAACAACTTGATTGAACTTCCTAAGATCTCAGCCAGAATTATATCCCAGTCAAGCCACTCTCTGCTTGTTGTTGTTGTTGTTATGTGTCATGGAGTTGGTTCCAACTCATAGCGACCCTGCACGGGTTTCCAAGGCTGTAAATCTTAACGGGAGGAAAGCCTCATTTTTCTCCTGTGGAACAGCTGGTAGTTTCAAACTGCTAACCGTGAGATTAGCAGCCCGATTCATAACCACTACGCTACCAGAGCTCCTCACTCTCTGCTTAGGGAAAGGCTAACAGAAACTGTATTCTGCTATCCGCAGAAACTATAAGAAATGTTTTTACGGTACTGTTTTAAAGTGATTTGTTACACAGTAATAGATTACTTATACAGCCCCACAAACTTATCATCCTTGCCTAGAATTCACATTCTCTGTAATCACTGACTAGAGATGCTTGAGGCGTCTAGAGACAAATGAAAAGATTCGGCAATCCAGGCTGAATCAACTGCTCAACAGAGACAGCAAGAGTCTAGAAACAAAGTGAATAGTGTTGTTCACATAATATCTATTCTTCAAATATCTTCTGTTAGCATAAAGATACAGGCCTGATAGACCACAGATATAAAGTTGAGTATAAAAACATACAGATGTTCAATAATCCCAGATTTGAAGTAAAAGAGTTACATTAAAGGCCCAGTTATTTCAGTTCCTACTGGCAATAGAAGTAAAAAGAATGTTACATTAAAAGTCCCAGATTCTTCATTTGAAATCAGAACAACTGATTTCATGATGATACTGACTGAATCAATGACACGGCAATTTACCAAATTAAAAAAGATAAATTTATCATTGGCTATGAACCTTTGGTGCTGTCCTGGTGTGGCGCTGTGGGTTAATGCACCAGACTGCAAAGTCGTTTGAACTCCAAAGTTAGCGGTTCAAGCTCACCAGCTGCTCCTTGGAAACATTATACAGGGTCGCTATGGGTCGGAACTGACTTCACGGCACTTAACAACAAAAACATGAACCTTTGGAGTCCCTGGGTGCTGTGGAAGTGAAACACTCGGTCACGAATTAAAAGGCTGGCATTCAAATTTATCAAGAGACACATTGGAAGGCAGTCGTACGGCTCTACTTCAGAAACAGCGCTGACACTGAAGACCCTAGGAAGTACATGGAGTTCTACTCTAAAACACATTGGGTTGCCATGGGTTGGAACTGACTGAACGGCAACTGTTTTTTTTTCTGCTGTTGTTGCTTTTGTTTTAATAGCCTTTACTATATGAAAGGAGTCCTACCATGGCATTTTAGACTAAGCACTGGACCACAAGGTTGGTTTGAACCACAGGTCGCTG